AGAGTCAGCATATTGCCCCCAACAATTTGGGTCCTCATTTTACCCACCTTGTAAGGATGGAAGGTTGAGTCAACCTGGAGCCTGGTGGGATTTGATCTGCCAAATTGCAGTAGGAGTAGCTTGCAGTACTGCACTCTAACCACTGCGCCACCGAGGCTCCTCAACTTAAGTAATCCTCAATTTACAATCACAATTGAGCCCCAAAGTTCTGTTGCTAAGTGAGACAGTTGTTAAATGAGTTTTGCCCCATTTTTTTGACTTTTCTGGTCATAGTTCTTAAATGAATCGCTGCAGTTATTAAGTCAATAACCTGGTTGTTAAATGAATCTGGCTTCCCCATTGACTTTGCTTGTCAGAAGGTCGCAAAAGGGGATCACGTGACCCTGGGACACTGCAACCATCATAAATATGAACCATTTGTAAAACATCCGAATTTTGATCATGTGACCAAGGGAATGCTACAACCGTTGTAAAATGTGATAAAACGGTCATAAGTCCCCCTTTTCAGTGCCGTTGTAACTTCGAACTAAACAAACTGTTGTCAGTAGAGGACTACCAATACAGTAACTCTGGAAAGCAGACTTAAATGCTAAACCAGCCTCCCCATCTCTCCCTTAATGGACTCTCAATGGGCTGACACAGAATTAATCCCATAGCAGAGATTAAGCACCTGTACCATAAATCAAAAACAACCATTCCTCTCCACTGACTTACAAAGGAAACATTGAACAGGAACACCAGTGGCAATAACGGGCAATGAATGGCTGGTGGACAGCTGGGATGAGGCCAGCGGCAAGGCGAATGTCCAAATAGCACAACAGCATAATGCCAAAGGTCAAGCATTTGCTGTTACGAAAGGGCCCACGTCAGTCATATGATCTATGTGTGTCACTGATGTTCTGAAATAAACTCACTGATTTTGTTAATGTCTTTTTATGGTTAAATAATGCCAAATTCAGCCTTTCCATATACCCATCTTCCCCTGCAAACCTTCATACACACAAATTCCGTGGCTCTGGGAGGCATAGTAACAATAAAATAAAATAAAATTTAGAAGTTTAATGCTGAACTGCAAAAGTTTGCCCACTCTTATCTTTAATGTCTGAATGGGATAGAAAGAAGAAGAGGTCTAGATATATTTATATCCATCCATTGAATGCTTAATTAAAATAATGCTGTTCATTTATCTTACTATGTTTTTAAGAACTATTTAATGCCAGGTGCAGGATGACAGCAATGTTTTAATATTTTTTTCAAAATTCCATATTCCACAGCTAAAATACCTCTGCCAACAATTCCTCAGCAATGACAATGACCTCCATATATATTCATACAGATGCACTTCAGCATTTTATCCCATAAAGAGGAACTAGCTGACAATACTTTTGAAGATGCCAGCAAAGACACACTGTTAATAATATTGTGGGATGCTAAACAGTTCTTCCAGCTATTGTGGATATAAATTCTGAGCCAAGTAAGTATAAATCAGATTGAACAGAGGTTTAGCACAACCTCTAGGCAGAAGATGTTGGCTTGACAAATATATTACAACTAATACACTGAGTAAATAGAGATTTAATAGAACTGACTAGGAAGTTTGGTTTATTGACTGACATCTTTTGGTTCCAATAATCCCGGACTTTACATCTGACAGCAACCACAAATTCCTATTATAGAATTAAGATGCATTCATTTTTTTTCAGATTTTGGACAAAGCAAGCAAATTTCTGTGAAATGCCTTCAGGCAGCCTGGAGATTACATTCCAAAAAGAATGCTGCTGTTTTAAGAAAGGATATATCACCATTTTGATTTACCTTCTTTCTGACAAGTGGTGTGCGGATGTGTAAAAATCCAGCCATCTCTATTGTTCCTGTTAGTAGTATTGCAGTTTGACAAGTATTTTTTAGAGATGTTTAAAATCTCCATAAATTTGTACCCTACCTTTAAAAGTGTGTGAAGCATCTGTAAATGTTTCTCCCCAATTTATATAACAGGTAAGGTAAATAGTTTTAATAACAATTTTTAATAATGCGTATTACATTGCTTTCATTCATAAACACAAATGAGCCAGACATGGGCTTATATCACAGAAAAGTTTCCCATGCAGGTAGTCCTTGACTTACAACCATTCATTTAATGCCTGTTTGAAGTTACAACAGCACTGAAAAAAGTGACGTGCGACCATTTTCCAGACTTATAACTAGTCACACGATCCAAATTCAGACATTTGGCAACTGATTGCAGTGTCCTGGGGTCATACTATCCCCCTTTACAATCTTCTGACAAGAAAAGTCAGTGGGGAAGCCAGGTTAAGTGTTACTAACACTGTGATTCACTTAACAACTGTGGCTAGAAAGGTTGTAAAATGGGGTAAAACTCATTGAACAACTTTCTTGCTGAGCAACATAAATTTTGGTCTCAATTGTGGTTGTAAGTCGAGGACTACCTGTAAAATGATATTTTTGTTTTCTTGTTATTAATTACCACTCAGTTATGCAGTTGGAAAATGAATACCAGCTGGACTTTGATTCTAGTGTGCCACTTTCAAATTCCTTTTGGTTTATTAGATCTTCTGGCAAAAAGCATTTATACTTCTATTCCTATAGGAAAGATTTCTTGCAGTTAGGACCCAGATGCTTACAGCCTTGCAACTCCAGATGTTTTTTGTTGCTCTTGTGGACAGTTTAAACAAAACACAAAGACTGGAATGGGGTAGCTAAAGCGAGGTATTGTTGGACTATATACAGTATAACATGTTTTGAAATATCTCTATGAACATCAGCATGCTACTAAATGCTTTATTCACAGTTATGGTTTTCTGTTCAAAATCTTCAGGGAAAATTTAGCTTCCAGGGGATGCCCATTTCAACTGGCAGCATAACTTTGATTTTTAAAATCATTTTTAAAATGATTTTCTGCTTCTGAAAACAGAAGCAGTATTTTCTAGGATATCTCTCCCTCTTCCATTAATTCTTTTAATGAGATTGGTACACTACTTTTACTGGTGTCAAACTCAGCTCCGGCTGAGTTCAACTCTACTAGTCTTCAGTTCTTTGAATATATTTTTCTCTAGCATTGGAGCTCTGTCTTGAAAAATATGCATTGATAAAAAGTCTTTTGGACCAGATGCAAGCTGTGAAAAAATACACAGGTGAAGTATTTTTTTTTCTTTGCTCATTGCTATTTTTTAATTACACTTAATTACACTTCAGCTACAATTAACACTTCAGTGCAAGAGCTACTGTGTTCCTAAGGCATTATATATCACGCACACTAATGCAAAAAGATGTAATTCTGGGGAAAGTAAAGATTTGAAAGATCATGTATGTTTTACCTTAAAGACATCTCATTGTTTGTTTCAGTCGAGTATAAGCATGCATACATCTGAAGTTCTAAAAAGGAGCAAGTTTGAAAACAGAAAATGTCTGTCTGTATTATCTACGGATGTACGCACCATTACAAATTAAGTGAATAAAAACACACTCCTGCTTTAAAAAAATATGAATGTCTATCAATAGCTTTAAATATCTGTTAAGGAAGAATGGGAGCTTACTTTTGGCTAATAATGAGCTACATTCACTAAATAAAACACCGCTTACTAGTTCTACCAGTGGAAAACAGAGGTTTTAAGAGTGGAATATGGACACTGGATAAGGAGTCATTCTTTCTCTTAGCTGAGTGAAGAAAGGATAGTTAGTAGTTAGTAAAAAGTGGGCTGTTCACATAGTGAACACTTGACAAAGAGAATTGCTCTGCTTTTTTTATGGGGATCTGGTATTATAATCCCTTTTGACTGAAGTGACAAGTAGGTGTACTTATCTTTAGTGGCCTAAAAATCACTGCCAAGATCAGATTTTCTGAATTCCGTTTGCATTGGGCTTCTAAGCTACAAAAATCCAGATGACCAGATGCAGCAAAGCAATGAAGAAAATGCTAACTGTTTGTTGCCATCTAGTGGCTGTCCATATTTTTAGAGCCCAGATATGGTAGTCCTACAATGTTCCAAAGGTACTTTTCCAAAAGGGACTTTCTTGGTTTTTTTCTTGAAAACATTTCACTTGTCATCCAAGAAGCTTCTGCAGGCTCTTCAGAACTGAAGAAACTTCTTGGATGAGAAGTGAAACTTTTAAGTGAAAAAGAACCAAGGAAGTCCACTTGCTTTTTAGAAAGCACCTTTGGGTCAACAGTGACCTGGATGATTGAAAATCTCCATAGACATTTAATCCTACAATGTTTATATATGTCCTTAGTTTTGAAATGCTTGTGTCCTGTATTCATAGTGGCTTAACTTTAAACCAGAATAAGAAAATCCAGTCTGCACTGAAACATTTTGGCAATGATTTGAAAGGTATTCAGCCTGGACAATGACAATAAGTTAACATATCTTCCCACTGGACAATTCTCTACTGCTGTAGCTACTGTCTCTCGCAATCCTAACCATTGCCCTTTGACTGTATACTGAATTAAGAATGAGAAAGGTCAATAGTCTATGAACTTTTATGTACATCTAGATCTACATTTCTCAACTTTGGTAATGTTGTGTGGTGTTCAACTCCCAGAATTCCTTAGTCAGAGACACTGGTGGGATTCAATTTTTTTTTTTTTACTACCGGTTCTGTGGGTGTGGCTTGGTGGGCGTGGTAGGTGGAAGGATCCTGTAAAATCTCCAGTCAGAAGTGGTATTTGCTGGTTCTCTGAACTACTCAAAATTTCCGCTACTGGTTCTCCAGGACTGGTCAGAACCTGCTTGTTATGAACTAATAAAAACTATTTAATAAAAACTTGTCAACCTTACGAGAAAAGCAGGCTCGTAATCCTGCACCTTTGATTGGCCCATGAATAGCGAGCAGGGATTGGTCCTTACGGAGCAGCCTGATTGGCTATTAGTTGAACATCTCTCATTGGGTACAATTTAAACGTTGGAACGCAATTCACTGGTTAACGGGTCAGCAGCCAGCTCTATAAAAGAGCTGCTGCTGCCCAGGGTTTTTGCTCTGTTCTTATTCATTAATAAAGAGTTGAAGTTCACTAGTTCTCTGCCTCGTCTCCGTTCCTTGTGCCCATGCTCAGTATATAACACTGCTGAATACCACCTCTGGCCAGAGTGCTTGCTGGGGAATTCTGGGAGTTGGAATTTATGCTTGTGAAAGCTGGCTGGGTGACTTTGAGCCAGTCAGTTTCTTTCAGCCCAACTAACCTTGTAGGGTTGTTATTGTGTGGAAAATAGAAAGAGAAAGAATATTAAATATATTTACTGCCTTTAGATATTTATTATTTATTTTAAAAAAAATTTAAAGGCAGTTTTTTTTTTTTAAAAAAAATCTAAGTACACAATATTAAAAAAACTTTTAAAAAGTTGCCAAGGTTAATAATCTAGATTTTTGGAAGTGATAGTATATTTCGGAGTAGTTACTGGTTTTATATGTGGCTGGTCACTTGTTGATGAAGTAGTTGGATAAATATTTTTATTTTCTCACATCTTGTATACATACAAGAAAGGTCTGCTACTTAGATCCCTAAGTTGCCTCAGGTTTTTTAAAAAATATAATATTGAATTAAGCTTGAATTAATTAATTGAATTATACTCTCACTTATCATAATTTCCCTTAGAGTCTCCCAGAAAGAATCTGTCAGGCAATATGATCAACCCACAAAATACTCCGGGTATGTGCGAGAGTGTACTTTTTTTTTTTTTTTTTTAATGACAAACATAGTCATATTCTTCTAAGCACCTGCCCAGACCAAAAAACAACAACAACACCCTAGCATCATTTAATTAGCTTCCTGATGATAGAAACTGGGATCTACTAATGCGCAATTTCTTTTACAGAAAGACAGTTGCTTCTTCAACAGCTGCCTTGATCACAGGCTTCTAATAACTGGAGATCGAAAGAAAGATTAGAAGAGCAGTACAAAAATGATAATAAAAATGCATCCGTGTTTTTTTTCATAGATTCAGATACCTGGGGGAGAGTCTATTTTGAAGTGAGTGATATGTTGTTCCTTTCCTGAACTTAAGTCAGTAATAAAAAATGCGGGCAAGCAGATGGCTGGGGAAATTATGCAAAGCCCAGTATCTTGATCAAGGAACAGCAGAGCTGTCTTTGTTAAGAATCTGAATGTCTGAGCAGAGGCGTCCTCTCCGGAATGAGAGAAAGAATGCTTTGAGAAAGCAGACCCCAAAATACATATAATTTATCACCTAAGTGGAGGGAGGAGTAACTTTCAACAAGCAGATGTAAAATGTCCGCCTTGGGACCATAACCAGTTTTGTTTTCTACAGAGTGGAAAACTCCACTCGCTGGAAGAAAAGAAAAGAGATGTAAAAAGGCAGCCATGTCCTAGGAATGTGGAGTATATTGTTTTACAATCTTCCGTACTGGCAATGTCAGATGTGATCTGCATGTTCAGAAATGAACTTTATAGATTAATCTGTGCATGGACACCAAGGGGCCATTTCATTTTTGTCTTTTCGTTTTTCAGACCTCTGAATGTGCAAAGAAAGATTAAAACAAAACAAAAAAGCAAAACGAACCACCTTCTCTTATCCTATGTTAATAAAATCTGGAGCCTGAGGGGAAAAATGCCAGAAAGATGATGTCCACCTCTATATTACTAAAACTTTTGTGACTGTAACCTTTACCCGGGTGCATCGCAGATGAAACTTTTTGAACTAAGATATCTCAAATGGGCTAACTTACAGAATCCAAAATTGGGGACCCGTGACTTCTGTGCAATTGAAATTCAGCAAACTTTAGAAAACATTTTATGACACAAAAATCATCATAAATCATTTTATGACCCAATACAAAATGTTGTAAAACGTTTCCCATCGTCTACTCCTGTTGTTTGACCTTGCTAATCAGTTGAACATGGACTATTTTCAAGGCAGGTACATCGCTGACTAGCTCCCTGAACTTTTAAGAACTTTTAAAAATTAGAAGTGATGCCATGTTGAAGACATTGAGGAACATATTCTTGATACAATGCTCAGTGGGTTTTATCCAAAATTCTTTGTATTTAACGGACTCAAGGCTAACTTCACAGGTTTGGCTGAAATCTCTGAATTATTTCTTTTTAAAAAGTATTTTAAAACAATAAACTACCCACTTCAGTGACTGCTAACTTGTAAATTCTTTGGAAGTCAATCTTATTAAAGTATACTTAGGATTTCATTTTAAGTTTTGATACAAGAAACACTGCAGGTAACCCTCAACTTATAACCAGGGGTGGGATTCTACTGGTTTGGACCAGTTCTACTGCTTCACCCAAGAGGCTTCCCTGAGGCCCAGGAGGCAAAAAAAAAATGGGGAGGGGGGTTGCTGCAAAAAAAGAGAAGGAGCCATGCCTACCCAGTCACATGGCCATGCCCACCTAGGCACACCCACCTAGCCCTGCCCACAGAACTGGTTGTTAATTTTTTTTAACCCCATCCCTGCTTATAACCATTTGTTTAATGGCCATTCAAAGTTATAATAGTACTAAAAAAGTGATTTATGAATAGTCCTCGCACTTATGACCATTGCAGCATCCCCCCAGTCACATGATCAAACCTAGATGCTTGGCAACTGGCATGTATTTACAGTTGGAGCATCCCAGGATCCTGGGATGGTCATTAACCTTCTTAAGGAGATCCTGACAAACGAAGTCAATGGGAGAAGCCAAATTTGCTTAACAATTCACTTAACAACTATAGTGATTTGCTTAACAACCATGGCAAAGAGGTCATAAAATGGAGCATGACTCACTTAACAACTACCTTGCTTAGCAACAAAAACTTTGGGCTCAATTTTTGGAATATTATGAAGCATACCCTGAGAAGCAAATGGACCTGATGTTTTTAGATGCACAAAAAGCCTTTGACAATGTGAGTTGGCGATTTATTTTACTTCAATTGATACAAATGGGCTTTGGTAAAAAAAATTATTCAAGCCATTGAAATGATATATCATGAACAAACTGCAAAGGTGATGGTGAATGGAGAATTAACAGAATCTATAGATATAAGAAAAACGACAAGGCAAGGCTGTCCTTTGTCACCTCTGCTGTTTGTGTTAACGTTGGAAGTGTTGAATAGGAACATCAGAGAAGAAAAAGAGATAAAAGGAATGAAAATTAAAAAGGAGGAATATAAATTGCAAGCTTTTACAGATGACCTGGTATTTATACTAGAAGATCCACTGGAAACAGCACCTAAATTAATAGAAAAAATAGAAGAATATGGAAAAGTAGCAGGTCTGAAATAAATAAAGATAAAACAAAGATATTTACAAAGAATATGTTAGCAAGACAAAAGAAAGAGTTGGAAGAAATTTTAAAAATACAGGTCACAAACAAGGTTAAGTATTTAGGGATATATATTACATCAAGATGTAACACACTGAAGGAGGACAATTATGTTAAACTCAAACAGCAGATTGCGACAGACTTGATAAAATGGGAACAACTATCATTGATTGGGAGAATATTTACAATTAAGATGAATGTATTGCCTAGAGTTTTATATCTATTCCAGACAATTCCTATCCGATTAGTTTTTTGAAGATTTAAATAGAATTGTGTTGAAATATATTTGGCAGGGTAAAAAAGCAAGAATAAAATTAAAACTGATACAAGATGCAAGAATAAGAGGAGGGTTTGCCTTGCCCAACTGGGAGTTTGATGCAGATAAAGGAATGGATAACACTAAGAAACAGTAGACTATTGACTTTAGAAGGGCATGACTTACTGTTGGGATCACATGCTTTCCTCTGGTATAAGGGTACTAAATCACAGGGGTATTTTAGAAGACATTATATTCAAGAGGCATTGTTTTTGAATTGGGAGAAGATAAAAAGACAATACTACTTAAAAATTCCACTATGGACATCAACTATTGAAGCTTTTTCTTATCCAATAATATATAAAAAGGAACAAACAGATATGGTGAGATGTTGAATGAAAAGGGTGAACTTAAATCTATGCAAGCGTTGGAAGAACAAAGTGTAAAAATGAACTGGTTTTCATACTTGCAAATACAATCTAGGTTTTATAAAGATTCTAAAGCAGAAGGTATTTATGACAAGTTGACTGATTTAGATAAAATTTTTATGGGTACTGATGAAAAGGTAATTAAAAAACTTTATGGACATTTATTAGAATTTAAACTGGAGGAGGAACAAGTTAAAGAAATGATGATTGCTTGGGGGGAAAATTTTGGATATGGGATTGATTTAGAAAAATGACAAAAATTATGGTCTCAAAATTATAAAATGACAATGTCAACTGCATATAAAGAAAATTTGTATAAGATGTTTTACAGGTGGCATCTACCCCCGACGAGACTTGCGAGAATGTTCAAGAATAAATTGCATAAATGTTGTAAATGTCATCAGATACCCGGCTCATATTACCATATGTGGTGGACATGTTCGAACGCAAAGAAATATTGGACTAAAATCCACACATGGTTGGAAAAAATGATAAAACAACATATAGACTTTAAACCAGAGATCTTTTCGTTGGGAATCATACCAGAAACATACAACAAAGAGCTGAAATATTTAATTGTAAATGTTTTAACAGTGGCCAGAATTGTACCATGTTTCTCCAACAATACGCCCCCCAAAATAGGAAGACCCAGCATGTTTTCTAGGCATAAAATGAAATTAAGCCCCTCCCCCCAAATTTAGGCCTAGTTTAAAACATGCAAAATTGGGGGGGAAAGGCGGGGGGGAACTTGCCATTAGGAGTGCTCCGTGGGCAGCTACGCCTCACCATTAGCTGCTCCTAACACCATGGTGAAGCATGGAGGGCTCCCTTACCCCTCCCTTACCCGGGTCAGTAGGCGGGCGGCATGGGCGTGGATGTCCGGCAGCGTTTCAGCTGCTTCTCAGGCCTCCATAGCTTCCATCGTTCCCACCGGAGCTGGCGCCTCTCTTGCCAGCACCGTCTCCAACAAAAGCATCTGAATCGCTCCCACTTTTCCCCCATCCCTTTAACAATAGGAAAAAAAAACATTTTGAGGTACCTGGGAGCGCCGCGCGCTGCGTTTTGGTTTAATCCCAAGCGGCTGGGTGGGCGTGAGAAGAGCCGAGTGAGCGTCTCTGCTGCTGCTACCCTTGGTCTCCAGACTCGGGCTCTGCAAGTTTGCAAAAGTCCCGGTGTGCAGCCCATTCTTGCATTCCAAGTGCCCAGGCCGAGCTGCAGCAGTCCCTCTCTCGCCAGCGCCATCTCCAATAACAGCGGCAGCAGTGGCGGGAACCGTGCAAGCGTTTCAGCCACTTCTCGAGTGGGGGAGCCGCCTCCATAACTTCCACGGTTCCCGCCGCTGCTGCCACTGTTATTGGAGACGGCGCTGGCGAGAGAGGGGCAGCTGCAGCTCGGCCCGGGTGCTTGGAATGCAGGAATGGGCTGCACACCGGGACTTTTGCAAACTTGCAGAGCCCGAGGCTGGAGCACCAAGGGTAGCAGCAGCAGAGACGCTCACTTGGCTCTTCTCACGCCCACCCAGCCTCTCGGGATTAAACCAAAACGCAGTGCACGGCGCTCCCAGGTACCTCAAAATCTTTTTTTTCCTGTTGTTACAAGGACGGGGGAAAAGCGGGAGCGAGTCAGACGCTGTTGTTGGAGACGACGCTGGTGCGCTCGGGGGGGGGGGGGGAAATTAATTCACCCCTGAAAAGACGTCCTAGCCGTTTTTTGGGGGCTCAAAAAAAAAAAAAGGCCCAGCCTTATTTTGTGAGAAACACAGTATTTGCGAAGAATTGGAAAAATGATAACATACCTATGCAGGAGGAAGTTATTAAAAAAATTATGGACTGTGCTGAAATGAGTAAATTGACATTTGAAATTAGAGAACAAGGAGATAAGCAATTTTATATGATATGGAATTTGTTTTATCAATGGTTGGATAAAAAGGCATGGTAAGGTAATAGAATAGATAATTTTGTTATAGAAGCTTAATAGATTGATATAAAACACAATGTAGGCATATATAGCCATTGGATGAAAGCATAATACAATTTTTTGGGATATCTCGTATAAAGTGATGGAATAAATAGTTTAGTCATGGATGATTAACAATTGATAAATATATAAGCATATGTTAGTTTGACAATGTGAGATTGATACAAACTGCGAGCAATGACTAAGAAAGGATTGCACAAAAGATTTGAAACCAGCTGACACACTGTATGTATATAAAATGGAAGATGGTTTTATGTTTTTATGTATTGTTTGTATATGTTTGTCTTAAAAAATAAAAACTTTTTTATATATATAAAAAAACTTTGGGCTCAATTGTGGTTGTAAATTGAGGTCCACCTGTATTGTTAATAACTTAAGTGTTTATTAGAACGCATACATTGATATGTATGAGTTATGGCAACCTGGGAGCAAACTTTGTCTTATTCTGTACATTCCCTGCTCTGTTCGACAGGACACGTCACAAAGAAAGCTGTCCAGATGATGTCTGGGTCCTGAAACTTTACATCCAAATTCAGGCTTGTGTCTGTGGAACTTGATACTGAATTGGAGCAAAGCCTGCCAGGTTGTCTCTGGAAATAAAGAGAAATATTTTTAAGTCTCCAAGTTAAGAAATTTGGCAGCCTTGGCTTTACAAAATATTCATATAAACAATGACTAGGAGAGAAGTATTAATGTCCTGTGGTGGCTGCTTGCACTGTCACTCAGAATCAAGAATAATAGAACTTTGTGGAATAACATAAAACAGCTGATATGAAGCATGAACAAAAGGCCATGTTAGGTATGATCATTTGGTTATCCAACAAACATCATGCAGATCTTTTCTGCAAGTACCAAAGGTAGGTGTTGCTCCATTTCCAGAGTCTCTGGTATAATATGTTCAGTTTATTTTAAATAAGAATTAGGAATTAAAAAAAGCATTAGTCATAGCCCTTAGTGTATCCAAACTGTCTTTGTATGTTTCTTTAGTTACTATAAATATAAGATTCCCCTCGCCACACACAGAGCACTTCATCCGAAATAAAAATGCCATGGACAAATAATCCCATCCTAAATACAACTTCTGTTTCATTTTTTTCAAAGCTATTATATTTATGCCAAATATTCTTTTATTTACTTTTCTCCCTCTTAAACAAATAATGGTATTGAGGGAAATATTGTTCCCCCAAAATGTCTTTTCACCTTATTCTTTGAGATAGCCATTGCTTTCATGTGTTTCCTACGTTACCCTAAAATTAATCTCAGCCAATGAAGTTTCAAGTACACAGTATGCAATCACACTATTGTGTGTCAAAGCTGGCTACTACTACTGATGTCATGAAAACCAGTTTAAGCCCAAGAACAATGGTTCATAAACAGTGAACATCACTGTGAATATTTTTGAAGAGGGAAGTTCAATAATATGAAAAGTATTTTTAAAAATGTAATTTGTCACACGTTTGGACCAGATTCTGCAGTTGATTGTCACCAATCATCACTTAAACCAGCCTTTTCAATAGGGTTTAGTGATGGAAAGTCGTGTCTCTGCAATCATTTCTGCACGCATATTCATTTCTTATTTACAATTAAATTGTGCTCTGATTTCCAATTACATATTTTTTTAGAATGAGGCTTTATGATAGCATCTTAATTTTACATGTAACAACAATTCCATATTCCATTTAGAATTTCATGTGCTCCATATATTATTTTCTCCTTAAACACTGATCAGTGCATATTTTGTTAATCCATATTCTTACTCTGTAGCACATTGTTTAATTCCTAAAATCCTTTTCCTGCAATGGCTGATCTTATAGATATGACCAACAAGTCACAATGATCTAAGGGGAGAGAATAACCTTGTGTTTCCAACCACCCATGCCTTTTCCATTTATATAAATATAAAAAACACAAAATATTGTTTGTTTCCTCCAAACTATGTTTGAAAATGCAGTGTACAAACCAATGTAATTTCATGACTTTTTCTGGTTGGCAGCCAATGTAAATACTTATACTAGGAGAACAAGCCAACTTCCTGCCATTTAGGCTTTTTTGTTTCTCTGAGTGCAACTTGTTACCACCGCCTGCCTCTGACAGCCTATTAACCCCTGTTTGCAGCAAGGAAAAACAGATGTGGGTTTCTTAAGCAAATTATTGATTATTTTGCCACATGTCATTTTTGCAGCTAAGTGTTTCCAGCTTTTCTGAACATTCCTCGGCAACAAGATCACATTTTCCTTCAACCTGTTGATTAGCATACATTTTATCTGCTTGGAAAGTACAGCTTGAGTTTGTTAAGCAACACGCAGAGACGTACTGGATTGTAGCCCAGCCAACTTGAAAGAGTGAGGAAGCTTTGGCAACCCGACGGGTGTGTCTCTGAAGTCAAGTAGAAAGTCATTTCATCACCTTTGTTTTAGAGAATCTTCAGCTGGTTTCATTCCTTTCTCGTGTTCGGGTGATTGCCTATACATTATAGTTGCCAAAGGAAGGGGAGCTATTGTAAATGGCCATGTTTACAGTAAAGGTCATTTCAAAGGCTACAAAGGTACATCAAGAGACTCAGAGCTACCATTTTGTGAGGCATCTGCATCTCTGGTCCATTTTGGGATGGAACTTCTGAAAGAGGTGGGATAAGTCTTATAGTGGATGTTTATCAGCAGTTTACCTGAGAAACAAGGCAATAAGAAAGTGGGTTAGAATAAATAGAATGGAATAGAACAGAACAGAATAGAATACCTTTATTGTAATTGCATTCCACGAATACAATGAAATTTGAAAGCTACTCCAGCACAGTGCCCAAACACCACATCACAATCATACTACAGAGTATATAATAATAATAATAATAATAATAATAATAATAATAATAATAATAAT